GAAGTGGACGTATGTATTGAGGAACAAGATCAACCCAATAGCACTCACGTTATATTATCAATTTTGGTAAGGTTTACAGTGAATACTGGTTCCAAAATACAGTCGTGACACGTGCAAGACCAGCTGATCTATCTTCGCTCCAGCATGCTTGCTTCTTGGTCAAACAAACATGCCACTCGACAACAACACAAAGGATTGGATGAATAATGGCAATGGAGTGCAAAGCAGCTCGATCGCGTAAAACATTGATTTCAACCTTTGTAACTTGTATGATTATTACATGCTGATAGATAGGGTCCTCTTTGTCATATATAGGGTTTTGTATATAATGAAGGGTGTCACGTCCGATGGCGATCTCCATATTGACGAGAGCAGTTTCAGCCTTTCAGGTCATAGTTACTGCTCTTTTCGGTGCAAGGTATGGCTATGGCTAGATCAGACTTGGACATTTCAACGCATCCGACGAAATGCTACTACTTTTACCAGCAAGAAGTTATATATCCTCCAATTGACAATCGATACATTGGACGACGCTTTGATGACATTGATCGCAAGTCTACCGTCTACCGTGCTGTAGAATATCTGAATTTTTTGGCGCCTGATCCGCCGTACTTTCTTTCTCTCCTCTGTCTGTCCACTGCCGCGCCTGAAACTAAAGCAGAGGAAGAGAGTCCAAAAGACAGATACGAATATTTTCGTGTGAAAAGAAAGAATTGTAACAGATGATGCAGACGCGCAAGCAGCAGACACCCAGAACTTAGCGTCCAGGTGCTTTTCTGCCTGGAAACAAAAACGAGTTTGACGAGCCGAACTCTGACTGTTTTGTATGTTCTTGATAAAGTATGCACAGGTTGGCAGAAACACACAACAATGACCGACAGACACCGCCGCAGCCCTTCGTTGATACATGTACATTGTCGGCGAGGTTAGACTGTTTTTGTGGACGACGACACGGATCGGAGGTATCACAATTGTAATGACCAGCAGAATCTTCAGGTTTCGGGAGTTGAAACCTCTTTTTCCCACTGTTTGATGTCCTGATGCCTGAAGAATGAAGCAATGTTTCGGAGTTAAAACATGCCTTCTTATATTGATATCCCCAAGTTGTTTTGCATGTTAAGACATCATTTTCTGCTGCTTGCCATTGCATATGGGAAAAGACTATATATGATTTCCGGAACCTGACACTGACCATTCTGTGGCGTGCGTGGGAAGGCATCGCTCGCTGCACACAGCTGTTAGTGATCATATATTCTTTGATTCCGTTAGTGGAGTATAACAACTCACCGACGAACTGAAAGAGAGAGAACAATGACGCTCATAAAGCCAACGCCATGTCACGCAAATACACAACCGATCCGTAAAAAAAAACATGTCTTCTCAGATGAGAATTAGCAGTAGACACGTTCGTTTTCGGGAGGTTTTTTCGTTATGTGGTCTGGGAGTCTGGGGCCTGCTGATTGCGCTGTAGAAAGGTTGCCCAGCTGGGCGTCGATAGTGGATGGATGGACCAAGTTGATGTGTGACCAACATTGGACGGCTACGTGCAATGAAGAAGATGATGTGTGCAGTGTGTAGTGCTCGATCGAGCAGAAGACGACAGGGGAGCTAACAGTAACAGGGGCGCGGCGGCAACTGGCAACGCGTGCCGAGATTGATAGACCGGCATGTTCGGGGCATGGCGTGCACAGCGAATCCCCTGCTTGCTCGCGTAGGCTCCGTTCGCTTCGTTAAAAAAATAATCTAAAATATTATTGAGAGAGAAAAACACTAATTCAGATATAAAAACAATCTAAAATGTACGTCTAGTCGGCTTGTAGCGCGCTTCTCTGAAGTCTGAACTGTCACGCAACGCAACGTGGCCTGGATTATAGCTGGAGCTGTTTGATGATAGAGGTTGCGTCGAACTTGCATTCCTGGACCTTCATATACAGATACAACCGTGAACACGTCCAACGTCTAAAGATATTTTTTTTCTCTACTATAGGGGCCCGTTGCACCATTCTTCAGAGTCTCTGTCCATGCCCCAGGAGGATTTAGTTTTCTTTATCTATGACTTGGCCAGTTGGCCTGATCATGTTTATGAGCCGGTTTAGAAGCGTATGTATAACGCAAAACTTTGTTGTGGGAGATGAAAAAGGGGAAAAAAGGGGAAAAATCTAAATTACTCCCTCCAAGTTTGACAGCTCCCTAAAGTAAGATTTCAATTTATTCTCTCCAACTATTTAAGTTGGTCCAATTTACACCTTAAAAGATTTTTCTCTTTTGTTTCTCTTTGTACATATTGAGTTCTAGTTTCCTATTTTGTTAGGTGACAGAGAACATCATATTTTGGGTTAGCAAAATACATTATGAATTTTTTACCGTTATGTTTTGTATGATATTATATCTCAGGTGTTAATTTATTATTAGATTTCCCAAGCCATCAAAATAGTGGCAAAAAAATAAGATATATTTTTCTAACATAACTTATGATATCCTTTATCATGTCAAAAAATTAGACATTAAAACTCAACTTATACGTGGAGAAACAACAGTAACAAATCTTGTTAAGGGTGAACTAGACCAACTAAAATAGTTAAAGGGATTAAATTGAACCAAATGTTAGTTTGGGGGGTTATCCGCACGTAGGCCAAACTTGGGGTAGTAATTAGACTTTTCCAAAAAAAATATAGTTTAAACTAAACTCAAGAAAACACGCAATAAGTTGAGTATGCATTGTAATAAAATCAGTAAGTCATGTTTAGATCTTCTAACAAAAAAATAATAGACTGAGGTGGAAAAATGAGAATGAGATCCGAACGCTTAGATTCTAGAACGAAATTCTAGAATCCAACTATCTACTCAAAACTTACTATTTGGAGATTTTCACTATACAAAAACAATAATAACTATGAAGATGAGTTCTAAACACACCCTCATTTTAACCCAGAAACCAGATTATATATTCACTATAAATAAGATCCAAACGAGTCCTAAATTATAGGTTAAAGGTTTATTTTATCTCCCTTAACTATCATCGTAGTTTGATTTTTCTCCTCAAACTTCAAAACCAAATATCTTAGCCCGTGAACTTTCAAAACCATTCAAATTACCTCCCTACTTTGGATAAGGTGGTTTTAAAGGTGGCTTTATCTTTTTTAGTTAAAATTTTGCTAAATACTTGATAAGTGTTTAAACCACATAATAACATTTTAAAAATTCTAACAAAATTCATATAGATAGATTTTAGGTATGTTTAATCTAAATAAAATATTTAGATCTCATGAAAATATCTTTAGAATCTTCCAAAAAATAAATTTAGTTCTAGAAAAATGGAAACAATATCTCAAAAAATCTACAAAATTCCAAAAAAACTATCTAATTAATATCAAAATGTATTTTGAAAACTTTTCTAAAAACATAAGACATAACCAGCAACAATGCATAGCATGAATGCATTCAGCATTAGTGTATGTTGCATTCATGCTAGTTTCAAATCATATTTTTGTAATGCAGAATATTAAAGCACATTTATACATTGATTAGAATGTTCTAAAAGTTTTTAGATTTTTTGAATTTTTTTTCTCATTTTCCTATAGTTAAATCTATTTTTTGGAAGCTTCTAGATATATTTTCATGGGCTCTAAATATTTTACATGGATTCTTCATATCATAATCATAGAGATAGATTTTTTTCAGAATTTTTAGAAGGTTAGATATCTTATCTTATACTCTTATAAAGCAAAACCCCACTAGATATTTATCTCAACATGCAAGCTATCCAACTAGGCAATACACTATCATATATAATTAAAATTCACTAAGCAAAACCCACTAGCTATTTATCTCAATATGTAAGTTGTCCAACCAAGCAATGCACTATCACGTATAATTAAAATCCACTAGCACATGCAATTGTAGTGTCCACGTCAGCAAGACACATAAGCATTTTATTGTCCACGTCATCATACCATGCAATCCACTAATCCGCAATTCCCGTAGCAACGCGCGGGGTTTGCTTCTAGTTTTCTATGGTTTGAAAACCTTCTCAAGTATTTATCATTTTTTTAACTAAAAGAGACAAAACCACCTTCGTAACCACTTCAAACCAGGTCAGGAGGTAATTTGAACGATTTTAAAGTTGAGGGAATTTTAAAGTTTAATTAAGAAGAAAAATCAGACTACAACCATATTTTAGAGAGGTATAAGATGGATCTTTTCGCATTAGAGGCACCGTGTAAACACAGCTTTTGTGCCTTTGGCGGCCCGTTTGCTCTCTCTTTTGCCTGCAACCGTAGGGTGTGAGCAACGGATTTTGTGGGCCAAATAAATATGAGGTTCCCAGGTCGAAAGCCCAACCCCATCTCAGGAGTCAGGACCTCATTTCTCCACTCGGACGCCGACGAGACGCGCAAGCCCAAATTCCCACGCTGCCGCCGGATCGGCCTCGATGCAAAATCCGCGACGAGCGCAGCCGCCCGTGAAAGTGACGCCGCCACAGCCCACAGCTCCAGTTCACCTTCACCACCTGCTCGGTAGCCCGTCGCGGAGCCGTGCCTCGTGGGATTGGGATTTGGGCGAACACGACGAACTGCGCGCGTGGGGCTGGGGGACCGTCTCGTGGGCGCCAGACAGGTTCCCATGGCGCGCCCGGCGCCCACGCCGACGACGTGAAATGGTGCTGTGCGTGCAATCAGGTCACGGTAGCAAGCATCAGGACTTCAGAAGGAACACGATAGCACAACGGTGTGTGTGACAACATAGAACTTCCATTAACATTGGAACATGAAAATTACGATCCGTACATTAGAACCTACACACCAGTGCACACAACATTAAACAAACCCTGGCATTTAGAGAAACATGCCGACAAAGATAGAGTAGCGGCTTCAGAAACCTCTAAGCCAAAGTCACAGAAGTGGTGACCAACTTACGAACACGAATACACTGCTACTCTACGCCCCCTTCTGACGATACAGCTTCCAAGCAGGGCGCCACCATCGTCTCATTTCCATCCATCAAACACAGGATTCGTTCGCCTGCTCAAATCGCTCCGCCTGGACCACAGCAGCCTCCTCGGACACCAGCGCCTCTAACAGCAGGGCCTTCACCTCCCAGGAATCGAAAGGAAACCCTCTCCTCGTGTAGGCGTTGAGGAGGGCAGCGCTTCCTTGCTTCACGAGCTTCACAAAGGCGCTGCCACCGATGTCGTCGGTCCTCATAGTAGCTTCCAGCAGGGTGAGGCGCGGTCCGTACCGCTCCATGGACCTAGAGCCAAAGACCTTCGCCACCGCCGCTTCCTGAGGGACGATGTTGGGCCATGGCTCAGCTCCACTGCTCCAGAATCTGCAGAGTGTTTGCACACGATAATATGATATGAGGATCTCACCGTTGCTGTTTACTAACTAGTTGGACAAAAGTTGGCTAGGCAGCTCATTCAAGCTGCTCCATCTTTAAAATGTAATGTAAACAAAATGTTGATAGGTCACTACATATTTTATCCCTCTTCCGCAACATTTTCCTGCATAAAATGGGAGAACACTATGGAAACTCATGATCTTTTGACATGGCAAAAACAAATCTATGTATTGCTTGATAGTCAAGATGCAAGATCATCAACAGCCACCTTAACAGGTACTAAGAGTGTTTGGCAGCCACTCATAAATAGATGTTACTGAGGAAAATTTCCCAAAGGCATTTCTGTTCCATACAGAAAGAATATCAGAAGGCCAGCAGCAAATAACTATGATAAGGAAAAGGAATGTGTTCCCAAGTTTATTTGATTGCCAGATGTCCTTTTCCTTCCCTAGATTCATGGAAGGACTCTTATTCAAAGGTTTAAAATTGATCAGGAAACGAATGGTGAGTTGTTTATCCTGCTGAATCAATTATTATCTATATGTAGAAAGGGTATAAAGCCATGGAATGCAGAAGGAGTAGCAGGACATAGATTTTGCAGGAAAGTGGGGGCACAAAGTGTTTATTTGTGCCAAGAAAAGGCCATTTAAGATGGTAAGCCGATAAGGTCCTACCAGGAAAAAAAAACAAATTGAAAGAAAGTGTCCTTTCATTCTCCCCTAAAGGGGGCAGAGAAGCTTGACACCAATTTTTGGGCACTGGGACTCATATTGTTTAGCAATTAGCTGGTTGTCAGTACCCATAAGACCATAACTAAGATTATTTTTTCAAACTTCCCATGGAAGGGATTTTTTTACCAAGCTGCACCTGCAGGTAGTTTTAGCCATTTTGCAGACTTTTCACTGTTAAAATCTTATGTAGAAAGGTGTGATCCACAGAATTGGATCACGCAGAGGCTATGATAGCAATGCATCTATTGCAGAGAACACCCCACAAGGCCAAAACAACTTCCCTTAATAGCAGGACGCCCCACAACAGGACAACTACGACAACCAAAGCTTGAGATCAACGAAATGTTCATAGATCCGTGTAATTGATGAAACCAATTTGAATGGTCCAGGCCAGGACAGGAGCTGATTATGATGGTCGTGCATTCACAACAACCAACTCAGAAGAAGCAAAAATGTGCCACATACAGATACTCCAAATAAGGAATGACATGATTACCACAGCAAACACATTGTTACAACAACCTCTCTACCTGACCAGACAACACCCTAACTTCTTGTTCAAAGTGCTGTACAGCTTAGCAGGACGATTCCATGGGATGGTTTGCTCAAATTTAGCTTGGGATGGAGTGTACGACAAGCCGGTATTCAAGAAAGGACATTTGAGTTGGTGGGCTCGCAAAGGTGTACCCATATTTTGGCTTGCCCTAAAATTGGCTTGGAAAAAATTGGCAAAAATGCCCTTTTACCTGGAATTTTTAGGCTGAAACGACAGATCTACCCATCCCCAAAAGATTAATTTTTTTGGGACACATCTTGCATCACCCAACCTAAAAGACTACCATTTTCTGAATCCTGAACTTACAAGGGTCAGTTTGGTAAGCTACAAAGCCTCCAGCTCCTACAATGTGTGCTCTGAAGGTATGTTAACCTGAAACCACCCACTTCAGTGACCAGAACTGGAAAGATTTACACACAGTGACACAGGAACATCCCAAGATTCAGCCTCGTATTCATTTCTTTTTAGAACAGATTCAATGTCTAACTTAACAGTGAACACTGACGCAATGACCAACAAAAGTTGCTAAATAACTAACTGAAAGTCAAATCCTATTAACATCCAAGAATGGGGCTGGGAGTGGTTTGAGTTGCTTACTGGGGTGTGCATCTCCCAACTGCTCGGGTGTAGAGGTACCCAGGCCATGCGTGCGCGTCGCCGCGGCTCCCGTCGGTGTGCAGCCGCATCCTCCTGCTGTCCCCATCCGCTGCCGCCGCACCAACCCTAGCGTACATCCCATTTGCTGCCCAGAAGGATGAGCAAAGGAAGATGAAGCAGGCGAAAGCTAGAGGACAAAGCGGCGCTTGAGAATCCATCCTCTCTCTCTCTCTCTCTCTCCGGCTCCGCTGCCTGCTGCTATCCTACCGGCTACAGGCTAAGGCGACAGAACTTTATGGAGCCCAGTTTAAAATGCGGACACTGTTCTGTGCTCTGAGCGTGCACCGGGCCCATGCCTGTCTTTACTTGTCATGCCATGGGTGTGAGATTTTCTTCTCCTCCCTTGGACTTTGCACATATTTTGTCCAGCACCAGTTCGCGCTATGGAAGTGTGTTTTCGGTAAAACTGAGTTTTTTATGGATTTATGGATATACTCATTCTCTCTCTCTGAATAAATAGATTTCTAGTTACAAAAAATTTCTACAAATAAATCAATCTCCATCTCCAGGAGGCTAAACGGTCCACTGGTCCATTTATTTTTCTCAAAGTCTTCTAGCATTTACTTACTGTGCCTCCTCCCATATCTAATCGATGAAGGGTATGTAGTTAGAACAGTCACCGATTACTGTGCAACAACTCTAATTGATGAAAGGTTTGTATAGTTTTTTTTGTCATACTAATATATAAACTTTCTAGGAATCTATTTATTCAGGAAGCGAGGGGTATATATACAGAGTGTTCGGTTGATGGTTACAACCTTCCTCAACAACCATTCTACGCTGTATCGTTCTCACAACTGATGTAGTAGAACACTCCCAGTGGATCTACCATCTATGTAAATAGCTACTAGGTGTTTTTTCTCTTTCCGGAGCGGAAGAGACTTCAATAGACGAGGAATTTCTTGTTTGATGGTGTTTCTTTTAAATTTGGAAATTTCTAGGACAAACTTGTCTTAAGACTATCTAAAATTTAGTTAGACTAAAGGTTTAATCACCGAAAGTTTAAAGTTTGTTTAGATCACCTAGAACTAAAGTTTAGTTTGAGTAAAGTGTACTCCCTCCATCCCTAAATAGGGACTTGCTAAAATTCAGTGCACAATTTTTAATTTCTTTTCAGACGATAGTTATTGCATATATTTCATATTAAAATTGCAGTTCTAGTTCATTGTAATTTATGTAAGCATAATCTTTAATTTTTGTTTTAGGAATAAAAAACCGTTAGACAAAGCCACGAATCCGACAAAGTTTGATCTGGATCGGCACAAAGACTATTAATAATTTATAGTTGTTTTTATAGACAAGGACAAAAATTTAATATGTTATGATACAAAGGCAAATAATAAATCACAAAAGTAATAATTTACTTGTACTAGTTGATTATAAAAGTGTGTTGCCTAAAATTATCTTAAAATTCAGGCATTTGAAATATAGGAAAAGTGCCCTAAATAACTGTCGTTTTTGTTTCGTGAGTGTGTATATATATATATATATATATATATATATATTAATACTTATGGTACAAAATTAATATCTAGATAGATCGTTGAATATGTTTTCATAATAAATTTATTTGGAGATACATATGTTGTATATATTTTCTATAAATCCAATCAAACTTATGGCTAGGAAAATAAAAGTGACAGTTACTTAGGGACATAGGGAGTAGGCGACTAAGTTTATGTGCCTAAAGTCAACATGCCAAGGTGAACCATCTTGTACCGCTAGAAGACATTAAATAGCCGGTTCTTCAAAGTTTTGGGTGCTCGATATTTGATTTCATAGTTTATGGGTGAAGTAGATATAGGGGCCTATGTATACCTTTTTCCTAAAATTGACTAAGTAGATGTAAATAGCCAATATCAACGTCTATACTCGTTCATGTGTGGATGTGGGAGGCCAGAATATTCCTTGTTCCTAAATCCAGAAAATAGCCCATACCAAGCTCCACCGGTATATATTGTGATACTATGTAAGGTCCGTGAGGCAGCATATGAATGCGCTCAACAAGTTCCCAGCATCCTTCTACATCATATCGTAAGATGCATTCGTGCATGCTTATTAACATATATATACATACAGTCAGTGCCTTTCTTAAACGAAACGAAATGAATTGCTACACACAGACTGACTGACTGACAATTGTCTTCCGGCAGATCAACTTCTTCCGGCAGTTCTTCAGATCCGTGAGGCAGGTAGACTACTGCGCGCTGCGCCACAGCTTTGTCAACGTACAGTATGTCACCAACTTGTTCATTCATTCATTCATTCAGCCAGCTATATATGTATATTGTCGTGCCGCATTTAATTAATTAACTGAATCTTTGGCAATCAGCAGTAACGTATGTACGTGTATGCAGGTGCATCTTGCCCCTGGCAGCAAGTTTGATTTCCAGAAGTACATCAAGCGGTCACTGGAGGACGGCTTCAAGGTGATCGTGGGGATCAGTCGTCCTCCCCTTTGGGCTTCTGCTCTCGTCTTCCTCTTTCTCAATGTCAATGGTGAGCTGCTCGACCATCTTCTGTAGATATCCACCTAGTCCTACGATCCTATTCCTAGGCACTATATGTTAGAATTGATCTCATCCGTCTTGACCCAACGGTCGAGACAGACCCCTTGACCGCGTCCTAATCGGGGACGTCCAGCCATCTAGTGGTTGGTGGACCCCCGTCGCACAGTGCCTATAAAAAGGAGGTGGGGCAAACGGCTCTTGACACGAGGTTCACCGCCGCCACAGCCTCACTGTCCTAACCCTAATCCGATCCAGAGGGTGGCACTGCCAGCGGCGGAAGGCGCCACTGCCTCCACCACCGCCGGTCTCCACAGCTACACCAAACGTCGCTGCCTGTGCGCAGATCCTCACCGACGAACCAGCGAAGGCAGGGAGCTCCTCCGACGGTCAGATGCTCCTACATCTCCCTCTCTCTCTCTGTCTCCTACTCCCGAAGTAAACTCTAGGTCTATGTGATTCAATTAGAAAAGAACTCACCCACTGGATCCACTACTAGATGATCCAAACTATCTAACAATGGTATCAGAGAAAGGTTTAGTATGTGGATCTGGATCGGGAAAAGAAAAGCAAATCGAACCCTAACCCTAGATCGGGTACGGGAAAAGTGGGGATAAGATTGAAACACGGTTTCAACAAAGAACAGACTCTAACCCTAGCTGGGTGAAGACGGAAGGGGCTCGGCTTCAAGACCGCTTGATCCGAACCCTAAACCTGCGACCAGATCTCAGGGCAAAGAAAAGAAGAAAGAAAAGAAAGAGAGAAAGATTGACCGACCCGGATCGGATCGGGAAAGAACAGACCGTAACCCTACCCCTAACTGTGATCTCGAATCAAGAAAGAAAGGACGGATTGGAAGGGGTTTTCTCCTACCTGGGGATCCCCTGCGCCGTCACCACCGCCTGCCGTCGCACTAGACGCCGCTCGGGGAAGTGGAACACCGCCGACCGTCGTGATCACACCGCCGCGCGGCCACGCCTCGGGCTCGGCGGTAAAGGGAACCACCACCAGACCGCTCGACGACGGCGCGTCCACCTCGCGGTGGGCGCGCGCACCGACGAGGGGACTGGCGGCGGCGCCGCCACCGACTCCTCCTTCGATCGGGCATTGGGCCCTTTCTTTGCTCCTCTGAGTGCGGCACGAGAGAAAGGAGGAGGAAAAAATAGAGGGGGGAGCCGCCGCTGGGACCACTCCGGGCGGCGTCTTCCTCGTCGGCTAGGACGACCGCCCCGACCGGCGCCGATGGCAACCACGGCTGCCGTGGCTGTCACGTGAGGCGTGCGAGAGAGAAGGGGAACGGAGGAAATGAAGCTAGGGTTTTTTCGCCCGTGCCGACCCGGCGTTTTGTTCGCCCTAGACGCGCGCTCAGCCATCGGATCTGTGGCGGGACAGCCCGAGATTGAGCAGGCCGCATCGCGCCCAGACGGGCGCGGTTGCCGGTAGCATTTTGCCGCCCAGCCCACGCGCTATGCGGCTGGGCGGCGATCTTGCTGTGAGGAGAGGGCGGGCTGAATGTTGAGTTGGGCCGAGGCAGCTTCTACTGTGTTGGGCCGAGAAAAGAAAAGAATGAGCCTGGTTTTTTGTTTTTTTCCAGAAAATAAAAAAATGTATTGGCTCAAAAGAAAATAGAAAAGAGAATTTTTCATGTGGGTAAAATTCAAGAAAAGTAAGTCGGGCCGTATCTCCTGTTGGGCCGAATGCACAGTGGTGATTGAGAATTATTTTATTATTTTCAGAAGCAAATTTCGATGATTTCATTCAAAGAGTGATTTAAAATCTCTGATAATTATTGCACCAACGTGTTAGAATTTTCAGAGAGTAGAAAAGTACAGTCAAATGCTTCTGAAAAGTAGAAAAGAAATTTTGTCAATTTTCCGTTGCGAAGTTAAAGTTTGTTGTCTTCTCATTAAATTCAAACCAACGGGAGAATTTAATTTGAAGAGCAGTTATAGTTATTCAATAAATGATGAAAAGTTGATCCTCCAGTTAAAATTGGAACCAACGGAAAATTTTAATTGGAGGAATAGTCGGTTGATAGTTAAAGTTAAATTATGGTATTGTTATTTTCTGACCAACGTTGATGATAACAATATTATAATTCTATGAGTTCTATGTTTAAAGTTTAAATCTCTAATGAATTTTGCATCAAAGTGACCAAATTTTTCAGAGAAAAGATAAAGATCAAGGAATGCTCTTAAACTAGAGAAATGTATTTTCATGTTTCCGCTGCAATGAAGTTGATTGTCTTCTAATTAAATTAGAACCAACGGGAGAATTTAATTTTGAGGAGCAGTTCTATGTTTTCAAGATTATTGAATTTCTATACGTTAATTCTATTTCTGCCTAACGGTGATGTGGAATTAATGTAGAAGAATGATGTTTTATTCTATTTCTGCCCAACGGTGATATAGAATAGAACATAAAGATTTCAAAGTTTAATGAGCATTATTGTTAAATATTTTTTTAGACAAAAGACCTCCATGCTTTCATTCTTGAAGGCAGTAAGAGAAATGAGCTGGGTACTTGTGGCTCAGATGATGAAATGCCTAAGGGCAAGTTATGTATAAAAGAATGTCATTGTTTAAGGGACTGTGTTCTCTTTAAAGAATGGCTTCAAAAGAAAAGAATTCTAGGATATTGATGCAAGAAAA